GTGTGTGTGTGTGTATGCAACTTCCCGACGATGATTACCCTAGTAACCCTGGTGGGCGGTCCCGGGAAACCCGCGATAATTTTTTTTTGCCACATACATACATACACACAGGAGAAGAAGTAGTTCATTATTTTCCCTTAGTAGTTCATGACGACGGCAATCAATCTTAGAGTGAGGGTATGTCGGGGGGGGGGGGGAATAGGCAGTCTTCAACGATGACTGGAATGTATGTATGATAGAAAGATATCGTCGTGGTTACCTAGCTAGCTAGCCGTTGGAACGGTAACTATCTATCTATCGACGACGACGTAGAGTGCGCGAGTCTAGTGGGGCAAACAAGCAATCTAGTCTACTCCTCATAATAATCTATTTGTTGTTTGGCGTTGGACTCAAATCAATCGATCGAAGTCAACCCCTCACGTTTGGTCATCATATGGTACATACATGCAGAACTTTTATGTTGTTTGTTTGTTGTAGTAGATAGCCGCGTACTACCCGGGACAAGCAAATAAAATGAAGGCTGAAAACTACGTTGTTACTGCTTGCTGTAAGTAAGTACTGCGTTGGGAAAAAAGCACTGCGGCTGCTGTCGTTTATTTCTGATCCAGATGATTATTAAAGTTATTGATTGATTGATTGGTGTTTGTGGTCCGAATCTCTACAGCATAGGAAAATAGATGACCAGGTAATAAGTAAGTCGCAAGCATTTTTCGGTGTTGGAAGTCGCGTTCTTGTTGTTTGTGGAACTATGTACTTACTACGTACGTACATAATTCCGTACACGACGATGATGATATAAACCCGCAACCTCCTCCGAAAAAAGATACTTCATGTCGAAGCCTAGATAGACTAGTACACAAATTTAAATACCGAAAAAAAAGAACGTGTAGACGGGCTCCCACAACGATAGGACGAAAACGCAAGCACGCGCGCACATACACACACATACACCCGACCCGGTGCCTGCCTGCCACCGTTCGTTCCCTCCGAGCCAACCAAATGAACGGAGAGATACCGAAGATAGTTGGCGTGGCACAGGATTGATTGTGTTGCTATATGTTTTGTAAGTGGCGACCCCTTGTGTTCCTCGTGTTTTAGTTGGGTGGGTGGGTGGAGGGAGAGGGGGGAGGACATACGATACATACATCAGACATACATACGGATCTACATTCATTCATGCAACATGTGTCGCCTTAAAAACACGGCTTTCGTTGTGGTTGCGATCCCGCATCAAGCGCTTATTTTTTGCAGTCGGTGGGTGCACATGAGAAAAACAACAGATTCCCATGCACCCGAACCTCGTTCTCCATACTCCCCCCCAAACCAAAACGAACTCACTCCTGGGTCGCTTTTGTAGCCACTGCGAAAGCAAAAGCAAACAGACCCACCCACAAAATCACAAACAAACTCAAACACGTATTACACCTTTCAAAACATGCAGCAGCAGGAAAAAACAGAAGCTATGTTATAAGAGAAAAAAACGAAATACAATATTTCCCGCACAGGACGCACGCACGCTTGCATGGATGAATGATGGATGGATGAAATCTACGAGCAGCGAGGTGAAACGCTATTACTACAGTACAGCGTTCTCTACAGACTGGGCACGAACAGCCAGACAATCAATAAATGTAGATGCAACGTGTTTCTAGGAGTTAGTCTTGAACGACTCACTCACGCGTCCACACAAACAGCCCAGACTACGAGTCAGTAACGAACGAATGAAGGATCTATCGTTGGGGGCGTTGACCGTGGCCTTGAACACCAAGATAAATATATAGCATACAACTCGAAAGAAAGAAAAAAAAAGACGAAATAACCCGTAAGTATATGCTGAAAGAGCTCGAAGCTGACGCTTTGCGGGCACAACGGTTGACGCCATCAGTACAGCATGCACCGTTGGGATTGACGTTTCGTCATCAAACAAAGTTTTTCCGTCTTGTACAAACAGCGCACACGCGTGTTTGGTGTGCCCAAAAGTGCCTCCAACGGGTGACCGGCCACTATCGCAGACCGCTGTCGCGCTGATGCTCTAAACACCTTTTTGGGACTACTACCACATTTTGGGACTTGAGAGCGAGAGAAGAAGTGCAATGCTTGCCACCAAGTCCAACGGAGAAGAAAAGGCCTCGTGTTATGCAAGCAGCCCGCCCCTATGTAGCTCTGCCTGCTGAACATTTAACATTGACTTCGCCATACAATGCAACAACAAGCTTTGACAACCACCCCATCCATCCTCATCTCTCACTCTTTCCGAATCGACTCTTACGCTGTCCAAACCAAGTCAAGCGGCTGCGCCAAAACAAACGAACACGAAAGGCATACCAGCAAGTCCGTCTCTAAAAACAAACATTGAAACAATCGCCGATGGACAAGGACGAGCGAAAACACCACGCTGTGCGCCAACAATAATAGGTTTAGGGTTAGTGCGGTACTCCAAAGGTGCTCCAGGCGCGGACAGGTGAGTGGACACCTTTGCAGCCGACATGGCTAGACTGGATGGCTTGACAGGGTTTAGTCTAGACCGTACAAACAAGATAGGCAGGCCACTGACAAGCGGATTAGCTGATGATAAAAATATGCTCGAGGCAGGACCATCACCAGCCTACCGAAAGCAGCACGTGCGTAGCATACGATGGAGTGCAGCAAGATGCACCGGCAGTAGGCAGTCAGAATCCACTAAATCAACCTCACGAGCGCTCTCCAGCCATTACCAGCCACAGCTTGCTTCGTTCCTTTGTGTTGGGATTTCCAAGCGATGAATCGCCCCAGGCGGCAACATACCGCATGTCTCATCAAAACCTTCAAAGCATGGCCTCCATTTCCTTCCTGAGAAGAGCGGGAGTCGGCTCCTTGGCGACGCCGCTGATTCGCCTCGACCTGCATTTCAAGTACAAGGCGATATGATGTACAACACTATTATACCAGCTTTGATACATTATACAACAGGGTCAGTGTCTCTTGCGCAGGGATACTCACTGGTATTTGTGTATCGTGTTCGCTCTTCTGAGGCAAGAAAGGTATGCACCCTAGACCATAGGCACACAGCGGTAGAGATATTAATACCGTACGCGACTACACAGAGTAAAGGGATCGTGCGTGATAAATCGTAAATCTACCACGAATATGGATGCACCCAGCGTCTTACCACATGGTGATCGAATTTTTAGGCTTGGTACACCTCTTTTCGCACAGTACGTATCTGCTTATCTCGCATCTGTATACACGAGATTTTAACAGTCTATCAA